TCTGGGACATCCTCCTGTCTTCTCCTGTCTTGTCCTTTGCTCCCCTTGTTGGCTCTCTCTTTTCTATATTTGTCTCGATATCCTGGTGTGCTCGATGCAAGGGCTAGGTCTTTCATATCAGCAGGGTCATAGCACTATGTCGCCGCCCGCTCTCTCACGCCATGATTATGTGTATGGGCTGGTCTGCTGCCGGTTGGCGAGCGCGGCAGTCCCGGTTTGCAAGGTGTATTCGTTCGGCTCGTTTCTTCTATGTTTCTCCACCCCTTTGCCACCACCAATGCGATTCCAGGGCGAAATCGTACCGGTCCGCGCGCGCAAATTCCGCGCCAGCTGTCACAGGTAGTTGATGGAGCAATTTAGCGTTAGGAGCTTTTACTGATCCAATGTGAGCAAGCCTCGAACGATGCCTTTATGCAAGTCTTAGGCGATAACTGGGTCGTTAGGAAGAGTCACCCCGCACCAGTATCACTGTTCAAGACTTCATGCCCAAACATCCAACGATGTAGCTATCGAAGCCCAGCGACGCTCCCCCCCCTCCTCAGCGGCACTGCAGCTCATCCTCTCTCCTTCCCATTCGCACGCTCCCCCCTGCTCCTCTCCAGCTCCCGCCTCCCTCCTCCTCCTCTTGATCTCTCCTCCTTTCCCTCCTCCCTCTGCATCCTCCGTAGCCATTTTGGCTCAAGACCATGATTCCCCTGTGGACCAGACTGGAGACCTCTGGTCCGAGGCGGGCAAGACAGTTCTGTCTGGCATCCTCTTTCGGCCTCTTCCGCGGACTTGGGCCCCGGCACAGTCAGTCTGCGCTCACCCGCTCTTGCAATTTGCGGGGGTGGGTAAACTGTGGAGTTTCCAGTTCCTGCCGCCCCGACTGCTGATGAGATGCCGTCGTCTATAAGTTCGAGGCCCAGCAGTTCACAGCCAGCTCATGTTCGCAGCCACAGCCGCAGTGGCCGCAGTGCTACCGACCCTTCTCCTCACCCTCATCAGCGCCGACCCCGCCGTCAGCAGCGTGACCAAGAAGTTCCCCGACGCCCTCGGGCTGACCGTCGCAAGCAGCGGAGTTCTCCCCGCCAGGCCCAAGATGATCACCGCGCTGCCGCTGCCGCATCCACCCTGGACGCCATGGTCGCTGACAGCTCCCTGCTCGCCGACTTGGAGGCCGCGCCCACCTTCCTCTCCCAGGAAGGCACCCGCCCTGCAGCAGCGGCGTCTTCCTCCGCGGCCCCGCCTGCCCCTACGTTTCCCATGCAGTCACACACGCACCAGCAGGACCGCTTCCTTCGGCGGGACCCGTGGCGGCAGCAACCTTCTGCGGATGCTGGTGCTCCGATCGGGGGCACTGCCACTCCTCTACCTGCTGTTCCTGGCGATGGCTCACTGGCCTCCTCGATTCAGCAGATGGTGGCTGCCCAGCTCGAGTCCACGAAGGCGGCGCTGGAGACACCGGTGGCAGCGATTATTTCGTCCTTTTTCTCCTCCATGCAGACCACGCTTCATTCCAACCTCGTCTCCACCGTGCGAACGGAGAGGGCCCCACTGCAGGCGAAGCAGACAGAGTTGGAGCGCAGCATGGCGGTCTGCCAGGCCTCGAACAACAAGATCTCCGCGGACCAGGTCAAGATGCGAGCCTTTCTATCCAAAGTGGAGGAGCTGCTATCCATGGCCGAGTCACGCATTCCCACCTGCTCCATCCAGCAGCTCGCGGAGTGGGACAGGCCTGCAATCGCCACAGTCTTCACGTGCGGCTCGCCCAGCACCTTCACCTCGGACGCACTCAGAGCTGCACTGGCAACGTGGTTCGAAGCGGCCGCCGTCCCCTTGGAAGCTCTGCAGATCGTTGGTGCTGACACCCCGAACCGCCGCTTCAACATCCAGATCGAGGGCGGCGCAGACGCGCCAGCGCGGGCTCTTGCTCTGGCTCTTGCTCCTAAGTCTGGTGGCTAATGGAGGAAATTCAGCATCTCCGACGCCAGCGGCCGCCCGAAGCCCCTCTACACCAGTGGCGACAAGTCTCCCAAGGACGCGCGCAGGGAGATCCAGACCAAGCGGCTCCACACCATGCTCAGCGAGGCTAGATCCGATCTCGCTTGGCGATGCCAGCGTGGCCGTGGTCTGGTCGTTGCCAACGCCATCCCTGTGTGCGAGCGCTTGGTTGGTGCAAGCAGTGCCGAGCCCACGCAGATCGTGTGGAACCCAGATTCAATCCAGCGCTTCAACGTCGACACCGAGGGCTTCAAGGCAATGTTCGCCAACGCGTTCGAGGGGGCCACGCCTGGCGCACTGGATTCCACCGGGTGGCATCTTTGACGCGAGATGGTCGCCGTGGGATTTTGTGGCAAAGGCTCGTGACATGAACGGCCTCAGGGTCGTCTCTTGGAATGCGAGATCGCTGCTCGGCACACGGCGACACCTACGCCACCGCAAATTTCGACAACTTCTTTCCTTTCTTCGCCAACGGGCGATTGTTGCCCTCCAGGAGGTCAACTATGACTTCTCTATTATTCGGGCTTTGTAGGAGCTACGGCCAACTCTTGGGGGGTGGCCATTTTGATCCCTGCCTCTGCACAGTCCTCGTTGGCACAGGTTGCTTTGGCCGACAGGCCGCAGTTTGCACGCGAAGTTCTGGTCCACGGTCGTGTTCACTTGGTGCGGATTTGCAATCCTCTCTCTGGGTTTGCGTTCTCGTTGATGAGCATCCACAATTTTGATCCTGCCCGCGGGCAGCTCGCCTGTGTGGCTGACGGGTTGCATGCCTCCGCTCGATGGGCCCATGAGTATCATGAGCACCACAGTTTCGTTGCCATTGGAGACTTCAACCTCGATGCCACAGCGACAGCGGAGTACATGCGTCCTCTTGCTGGCCAGGCGGTGCGCACTGCTGAACGGTATCGCCAACACCCCCCGCAATGGGCTGCGATGCTCGACGGTGGCATGGTGGAGGTCGTTGGCGACCAGCCCACTCGGTTTACTAAGGACACGGCAACGGCCAGCACCATCGGCAGGGCATTCATCTCGCTCTCCGCGCAGTACATCGAGCAGGTGTTATGTGGCTTCGAGCTTCACAGGAAGGCCCCCGAATACCCCGACTGGCTGTTGAGCGGCCGCTCCATCACCCTACTGCGCATTCGTTCCAAACAGAGGGTTGATGCAAGAGAGCAAGACATTCCTACGTTCATCTTCAAAGCTAAGCAGTACGCCCAGGCTCGAGCGGTTCGTCCTTGCACCTGCGCTGCGAATGACTGGAGCATAGCGTATGGTGAAGATTGCTGCACGCTTCGCCTGGGATGAACTGACACAAGCACCCGATGGATGTTGCCATACCTCTCTTGAAGCCAAGCGCCAGACAACGGGGTGCATTGCGAGATGTATGTGGGGACAAGGTGTCTGGGCTGCCCGTCTCCTGCATGCGGAACTTGGCCAGCCACGCTTTCTGATTGATGATGGTCGGGCTTCTCTCATTGGATCTGATGAGTTCGCTGCGTCCTGCGGACGCCTCGCCCATCGGTGGCATGCGCATCAAGTTCTACCTCAACATGTCCAGTGCAACCATGCCCCTGGAAGTGAGGCCGCGCTCCTTCGCCCGCGCCAGAGCGCTGCGGACGCGCCCGTCAGCAGGGGGGCGATGCTGACCGCGTTCTTCGCCGGTCGCTCGTGGTGGCCCCATGCGCTGGCGCGCGGGCCCGGGCGCGTCTTCTGCCTCCGCTGCGGCGGCAGCGCGGCGTCGGCAGCAGAGATGCTCGGGGGCGCGTGCCCTGGTTGGCGGGAGCGTTTGCTGGCGCGGTGCCTGGCGGTTTTCCTCCTGGGCGACCTCCCCTGCGCCAGGGGAAGACTGGCGGCTTTTGCACGCCTGGCTGCGCAGCGGATCGCGCAGCTGCCCAAGATGCCGGACTAGGCGCTGCTGGTCTGGGCGCCCGCGGCTGCGCGCAGCGCCCGAATTCGCGAGTCAAGACAAAGTGAGGTACGTCCGCGGTAGGGTCTTGGTCTTCAGGGGGAGTTGCCTTTGGGGCGCCAGGAGTGCGGTTCGTCCGCGACTGGGTGTTCCTTCAGGCGGCGTTTCGCGGGCTCCTCGCGCAAGCAGCGGCTCCCGTCTTAGCGGGTAGACACATGCCCTTCCACGAACAGGACCCCTTGGTCGCCAGACGAGGCTTCAAGGAGGCGCATCGGTCATGTCCTCCACTTCTTGACTCCTTCATTTTCGTTCCCCGTCCGCTCCACCTTCTCCTCCTCGCCCCCGTCCTCCTCGCACCCATTTTCATCCTTCCTCCGCCTCCCTTCCCCCCCGTTCCTCCTCGTGATCCCGCCTCCTGATATTCTCTTCTCTCGACATCCTCCACCTACCTTCTCCTCCGCTTCCCTTCTCCTGCTTCTCGTGCTCCTCCCTCCTTTTTCTTCCGCTCCTCCCTTGACACTCCTCCCCCTGCTACCTCTCCATCTCCCCCACGATGCCTCCAACAGCCCCTTTTTGCTGCCCTTCTTCACCTTTATTGTGCCCCCACCTAATTTCCGCTCCACGTGGATAGCTCCTCGTCGCACCGCCAGAGGAATCGGTCGGCACGGCGGTTTGGGCGTTTCTCATGGGATTTTTTTTACAACAGGTATTCTCGTAGTGCCGCGCAGATTCGTTTGAACAGCCTCCAGCAACCTAGCAGTTGCACGGCGGGTGGTTTTCAATATTGGGGAATGAGGGGGTGGATAAAATACATATCGCACATTCGCGCCGCGCAAGTTCGTTTTCTTTGCCAACGACTTACAACTATGGAGGGCGGCCGGGTTTCGACAGGCCTTGGCGCGCATATATTTTTTTCGGTGTAGCGTTTGGCATTCCCAGCAGTCGCACATGCCGTTGGCAGTTCTTATGTTCCATCATGTGCTTCCTGTCGGAGACTTCGCAACATCTCGTGATCACAACGCGTGAAGTTTTCAATCGTCACACATAGTGAGGGCGGTTTGTCTTTTTTACATGTGGCTCTCGCGCGGGAGAGGATTTGGGATAGTGTAGTTTGCTGCAGCAGACGCTGGGCGGGATGGGTTTGTTCTGGACCACCTTTTTCTTCCACTCCCCATCCTACGCCTCCGTCCTTCTCCTCAAATGTCTGTGCTGTCCTCCTCCTCCTCCTCCTTTACCCTCTCGTTCTCTTTCGCCCTCTCTTCCTACTTCTCCCCCTCGTCCATCCTTTTCCTCGCATTTCTTTGAAGCCAGGAACACACGTCAACATATTTTGGGGCACTTCTGAACGCCTCCGAGCAAAATGGCCGAAATCCAAAGGAGGCCTCCCTGGCAACTGGCGACGGCGTCCGAGAAGTGCTGAGAGTCTCTGAAGCCCCCAGATTCGGCGGCGAGCCCAGGAGGAAGTGAGAGGGGGGCAGGCCTTCTCAGAAGGCGGCTGGGCTTCTCAGACACCCTCGCGCCTTCGGAGAAGCCTTGCAAGCCGTTTCCGAAGCCGCGAACGGCTTCTCAGAAGGCGCGCGGGCCGTCTTCAGAGAAGGCCTGCCCCCCTCTCACTGCACTCCTTGGCTCGCCGCTTTCCGCATCCTCGAGCCAGCCTGGGCGCAGCGGGCTTCCCCGAGCTGGGAGTGGCCCATGCTGGCCCCTCTCGCTGGGGCCTCTGACACCCAGCGACGCCAGTACCGCGCGGCCCGCACGGCCGTCGCCCTGGGGCTGCCCAGGGGGCGCCCGAAAGTACTCCTCCCAAGGCTTCGTGGCCTCGGTCTTTGTCCTCTTCATGACCTTCGTGTTCTCGTCCTTCCGGCGCCTCTTCGAGGCCAGCCGGGGGCGGGGCGCATGGAGTCGAAGGAGGGAGGTCGGTTCGGGGAACCGTTGATTCGAGTTGCCAGGCTTTGGGTCTGCCGCCGCTTTTTGGCGTTCCCGGCGTGGTTTGTGGCTTGCTGCAATCCAGTTTTCGCGAGATGTTCGCAGCGGGAGCTGAGCTTGCGCCACATTCCAGGCTGGGTCCCGTCGTTGTTCTGACGGCCCCGTCAGGCCAACTCGAGTCCCCCGCACTCGAGTCTTACGTCTCCGGAGCGGAGAGGTGAGGAAGGACCCAAACGGGGGGGCATGAGGCAGAAGGAATGACGCAGGAGGCGGAGGGAGGACAGAGGGAGCAGGGGCGCAGGCGGGAGCAGGAGAGAGATAAGATGGAGGAGTTCCTGCCCGTCTTTCCCGAAAGCTAGCGACGCAGCCCACACCTCTGACCTCTGACAGTAGGGCTCCCCCTCGACGCACACCTGGACACGTTTGCCCTCGGGTATTTGTCTCCTGCTACTGCTACTACCTCCCCTCCCTTGGGGGATGGAGGTGTCTTTCTGAGGCTTTCGGGGGTCTTCGGGGAGGGAGGAGGGACGGAGGAGGAGGAGGCGGAGGAGGAGAGGAGGAGGAGGCGGACGAGGAGGAGGAGGAGGAACAGGAGGAAAAGGAGGAGGAGGAGGAGGAGGAGGAGGAGGAGGAGGAGGAGGAGGAGGGGGAAGAGGAGGAGGAGGAGGAGGAGGAGGAGGAGGAGAGAGGAGAGGAGGAGGAGGGGAGGGGGAGGGGAGAGGGAGGAGGTTGGGGAGTGGGACGGATAAGGGAGGGCGGAGAAGGATGAGGGCGGAGGGGGAGGACGGGAAGAGGAAGGAAGGTTCCTAAAGAGTATCTAGAGGAGTGAGAGCGTCGCACATGGAAGGCCATCATCCCCAATTCTGGGTGTTTTCTTGTTACGCGCTTGGAAGAGTACTTATCCATTCTAGGTTTTTAGGGGGCTTTTCATGATGAGGAGGATAATGAGGAGTAGCATTGGGAATAAGAGGGCCATAAGGAGGGGGGGAAGGGCACATGAGACGGAGGAGTGGAGAGGAGGAAAAGGATGAGGACGAGGAGGAGGAGGAGAAGGAGAAACAGGCGAAGGTGTAGGAGGGCGAGCGGGAGGAGGAGGAGGAGGAGGAGGAGGAGGAGCAGGAGAAGGAGGAGGAGGAGGAGAATGAGGAGAAGGAGGAGGGGGAGTTGCAGTCAAGGGCGATGACGATGGTGATGATCATGACGATGACTATGTACGATAGCGACGGTGACGATTTCGATGCCGATGATCATGTCGATGCCGGCGACGATGACGATGGCGACGACGACGATAATGATGATGCTGATGATGGTGCTGCTGCTGATGATGATGATGATGCTAATGAGGATGGTGATTATCATTACGATGATGGTGCTGATGATGAGGATAGGACCTGGCACGATGAGGATGATCATGATGTTGAACATGATGCTGCTGATGATGATGCGGCTAGTGATAACGCATACAAGGATGTACATGTTCTTTGAATGCAATGCGGCTAATGCGGATGAAGACTATGATCTACAGGCGAGTATGATGAACATGCTTAGGATGACGACGACGATGATCATGGTGGTGATGATGTTGCTGACGATGATAATGGTGATGGTGGTGATGATGTTGATGAGGGTGCTGGCGACACTGAGGATGCTGCTTCTGATGGGTGATGATGACGACGATGCTAACGATTGTGATGGTGGTGGGGATGACGATGATACTGATGTAGAAAGGGATGGGCGATGATAAGGGTGAGGCGGATACTGAGGATGTGGATGTGTATAACGATGATGATGACGATGATGGTGATACTGATGCTGATGATGATGCTGATACTGATGACGACGATGATGATGATGAGGATGAGGATGCTGATGATGAGACTGACGATGCTGATGACGATGATGCTGCTGCTAATGATGATGTTGATGAGGATGAGGATGCGGATGACGATGCTGATGACGACGATGATGACTTTTGATGAGGATGAGGATGCTGATGCTGCTGATCATGCTGATCATGCTCATGATGATGAAGAGGAGGAGGAGGACGCCGCTACTGAGGATGATGCTGATGATGATGCTGATGATGATGATGAGGATGAGGATGAGGACGCTGATGCCGACGATTATGCTCATTGTTGATGAGGATGGGGATGCTGCTGCTGCTACTACTGATGATGGTGATGCTGATGCTGATGATGATGACGATGATGATGATGATGCTGATGATGATGATAATGATGATGATGATGCTGATGATGATGATGATGATGAACGATGGTGATGATGATGATGATGATGACGATGCTGATGATGCGGATGCTGTCGATGATGTTGGTGACGATTATGATGATACTGCTGCTGGTGATGTTGGTGATACTGCGTATGCCGATGATAGTGATTCTGATGATGGTGATGCTGATTGTGACGATGATTATGATGCTGATGATGCTGATGACGATTATGCTGCTGCTGATGCTGATGCCGTTTCTGGTGCTGGTGCTGGTTCTGATGATGATGTTGTGGCTGATGATGCCGATTATGATGACGACGATGATGATGATGATGATGCTGCTGATGATGATGATGCTGATGATGATGATGCTGATGATGATGATCATGGTGATGCAGGTGGTGGTGGTTTTGTTGATGATGCTGCTGATGATGATTAGACTGCTGCTGATGATGACGATTGCAAGGATGTTGATGACAATGATGATGATGATGATGATGATGATGATGATGATGATGATGATGATGATGATGATGATGATGATGATGATGATGACCATGCTACTATCGATGACGATGACGATGCCGATGACGCTGATGATGCTGCTACTGATGATAATGCTGCATCTGCTGCTGCTCCCGCTGAGGATGCTGATGCTGCTGAGGATGAGGATGAACGTGCTTCTGGTGATGATTACGAGGGGGTGACGATGAGGAGGAGGATGAGGATGAGGAGGAGGAGAGGGAGAGAGAGGGGGAAGAGGAGGAGGAGGAGGATGCTTAGGAGGAGGAGGAGGAGGAGGAAGAGGAGGAGGAGGAGGATGAGGAGGAGGAGGAGGAGGAGAGTAGGAGGAGACGGTTGCTGCCGCAGTGGAGCTCATTGCCAGGCTGCATTTATGAGAGGACGTGCGGCAGGGCGATGTAACGCAGAAACGGTGATGTGTGCGGTATCTGCTCTACCACTCATCCTCCCCCGCGTGGTCTTCCGCCTTATTCTTGCCCTCCTTCTCCTCTTCCTACTCCTGCTTGCGTCTTCGATTTCTCGTTGTCGTCAGCCTTCTCCTCCGCCTCGTTCTTCTCCTTCTCCTACCCCGCTGCCATGGATCGCCCGCGTAGTCCGTCTCCTCCTCTTTTGAGTCGGCATCGTCTTCATCCTCCTTCTTCGCCCCCTCTCCTCCTCTTCCTCCTCCTCCTCCTCCTCCTTCTCACTCCTCGTCTTCCTCCTCTCCCCTTTCTCCTTCTTTTCGCTGTCGTGGTTGTGGCGGTTGGCCCTCTCGCTTCTCTCCCTCTCCTTTCCCGTGGCTGCCGCTGAGTCCATCAACAGCTGGCTCATGAAGCTGCCGTTGTGGAAGTCGGCGGTGGGCCTCTACCACAGGCCCGCTTGCCCGGGCTTTGCCGAAGATCTCTGCGCTCCCCATCTGGAGGCGAAGGAGGAGGGAGGGGTGGAGTGGCAGGGATGGGGGTAGGGAGGACGAGGGCTGTTTGGAGGAAGGGTGGAAGAGGGGAAGGAGGAGGAGGAGGACGAGGAGGAGGAGGAGGAGGAGGAGGAGGAGGAGCAGAAGCATGACCAGGAGCGAGATGAGGAGGACAAGGGCGAGGAAACTTAGGATAATGAGCGGGAGTGACACGAGGAGGAGTTTGGCGAGTGCTCCTGGAAATGAATTCGGAGATGTTCAGCGGTTGTTGAATTCTGTTCGGAGTCATTCGGAGGTTTCTAGATGAGTGTGATGATGTGGAACGGAAGAAGAGGGTTGTGTGGAGGCGGGGAGGGAGAGAAACGATCATGGCGAGGGTTGAGGAGGAGGTGGAGGAGGAGGAGGAGGAGGAGAAAGATGCGGGGAAGGAGAACAAGGAGGAAATGGTGGGGAGAAGTTGGATGAAGAGATGGATGGAAAGGGACATGAGTAGGAGGAGAAGGATGAAACAGAGGGGGAGCGGCATGCTAGGTGAACGCGCCCCATATCTGCCAACGGATGATTCCCACCCATCCCTTCCCATCGCGCTGAATTCTTTTGTGTCCGTGGAATGTCCTGGAGGATCTTATTCCCCCGAGCGACCCCATCGTGTGAGTCGCAATCAGGAAGGGAGGCTTTGCACATTTGAGGAGGAAGATGCGGGTTATGAAAACGGGGGAGGATAAAGATGAGGGGGAGGACGAGGAGGAGGATGAGGAGGAGGAGGAGGAACAAGACGATAATCAGCTACAGCACTAGCAGGAGCAGGAGTCAGATGAAGGTGGAGGAGGGGGAAGGAGGGCGGCGGCAACGACGACGAGAAAGGATTGGATCCGTAAATGCGGCCTGCGCTGGTGCGATCGCGCCATTCTGAACGACGGGGGCAAAGCACTGATCCTGCAGCAGAAGCGCAGTTTTTGTTAAGGATCGAGGACGTTGCGGTTGAAACAAGAGCACGGCAATGAGCAACTCATCTGGTGTGCGAGAACATCATGCGCGGGATAGGCGGTATACATCTTGGACAATATCAGGGGACATATATTATTGTAGTGATTATGCTATTATGTAATTGTGAAGGGGGAGGCGGGAGAGGAAGAGGAAGAGGGGGAGGAAGAGGGGGAGCACAATGGATTTCGATGCAAGGCAGCAGATGGGTGGCGAAAGGAACGAACGATAAGGAGCGGACTCTGGGTGGCGCCGCCTAGGTGGGCGATGGTTTACCACCTTCACCACTTTCGCTAACGAGCCACTGCCACCGCCGCTGCGTCATCATGAGCGGAGATTGCTCTGGGCTGCTCGGGGGGCCTGTCGAGGCGAGCATGGACTACCTGGGGGGCTGTCTGTGCGCAGCCCGAAGCCTTGACAGGCCTTCTCCTCGATCCGTCGATGGTGAGACCCTTCCTTGAGCGCCCTGCATGTTCCCAGCCCGCGGCCACCAGACGCATCAGCCCTGATCGAGCGAGACGGCCACTTTGTCGGCCGGGTTCAACCTTTGCGACTTCGCTCGAGGCCCTCAACTCTTTTTGGGGGTCGGAGTGGGGGAGGGCACGGCCTCCCAATACTCATGATCTGGTGGGTGGCGTGGGCCCCGCATTGGGCACAGCACAAAACCTGCCACCCTGACGGCTCGCGGAGCAGATGGCTCGGATGGGCCTCGCGGCCTCGAACGGACTTCCTCGCACCCTTCCCCAAAGACAACGAACGACTGGAGACGAACCGCAGGGCGCTCCTCGGCCCGCACTGGCTCGGCACTCGGTAGCGGCCGCCTGCTCCAGGCAGGATGTGCAGCGCAGTTGTCGTCGTCGTCATCGTCGTCGTCGTCGTCGTCGCTTCATCGTCGTTGTCGTCATCGTCGTCGCCGGCAGTCGGCAGTCGGCAGTCGGCAGTCGCGCAGCGCCGCTTGACGGCCAAACCCCAAAAGTGGTGTGAGGAGGTGGTAAGAGCCTGGGCGCAGGCAGAGGGCGGCAGTCGGCGCTCGTGACCAGGAGGAGGACGAGGAGGAGGAGGAGGAGGAGGAGGAAGAGGAGGAGGAGGAGGAGGAGGAGGATGAGGATGATGATGATGATGAGGAGGAGGAGGAGGAGGAGGGCATTGTTTGCTTCCCCACAATCGTCCTCGTTTTTTCTGCTGCGCCGCGGGCCTCGCTATCCCTCCCTTTCTCTCGCCCTCTCCCCCTCCCTCCCTCCCTCCCTCTCTACCTCTCTCCCTTCTTTTTGCCTTTTCTGCCATCGCCTACTTCAGCGCACCCCCAGGCGCATCGTGGTCCAGGGGAGTTCCACCTGCGGCATCAGTTGGCCAGTTCACATGCTCCCCCTCGCCCACTCCAGCTCGCCCGTTCGCACGGAGCGTATCCCCTAGGGAGCTCCATTTGCGGCCGCATTGGTCCGATTATCTAGGTGGCAAGATCCGATTCGACACCCGATTTGGTGAATATGACACACGGGCCGCAGTGGGAAGGGGTGTCAGGGATGGGTCGGATTTTGCGCGAACGCACCTAGCTTTTCCCTCCTCTATCACCCTTCCCCCCGCTTCCTCTATCACTCCCCCTCTGCCTATGCGCGCCCGCGCCCGCACAGAGGTGTACAGACGGAGTAATCATTGAGGATTGCAACAACGATTTATGAGACAGAGCGCGTCAGCCCTAACAATTACCATCAAACACACGACCACGGGCAAACCAAGCAGCTTCACGACCTCTTCGAGCAACGACGTAACACACCACAGAAGGACACTGCGACCCGCACTATTACCATCAATCATGTGTTCAAGGGGCTGCGGTCGTTGAAGCGAGTTCGACGGCAAGAGAAGATCAAGGAAATTGTCAACACCTTTGCAGGCCTGGAGAAAATGGCAGGCACCAAGCGACGAACACACACACACATAAATGATGCTGCAAATGATGGGACACTATGGCACCGATGAGATTGAGTGACAGGGCATGGTTGAGATTTCGCAACAATGAATGAGCGACTCCACCCGAGAAAGGACTCCAGCAATGAACGCCCGACACGTGTCTGCGACGCTTACCACGGAGACCGGAGTGCCGAAGCAACGGCAGACCATATACCACGTTTCCCACATGAGGAATTTTACCAAACAGTAAAACAACTCAGCGCTGAGAACTCCAGGAACACAGTCAGGATCACGACAGAGATGTTCGAGGCAGGCGTGCGTGCAAAGAACAGCATTCTCAGTATTTGCTTCCATGACATCACCCAGCCACAGCAACCACCGCCAGAACACATTGGAGGCTTACCATTATCACCGTGGTCATCAAGCCTGGGGAACTCGAGCTACCACATACTTACATCTCCATTGCAATTATTCGTCTCCGATGCAATCTTAGAATCCCGACTTCTGTGCAGTCGACTTGGGCCGCTGTTCGATGGGCAGCGGAGCTTCGACCAAACAGGCTTCAGACACGACTACGTGATCCAGGGCCACTTGTTCACGACGGCTCCTTTGCACAACAAGTCGAAATAATGGCAATCACCACTATGGGTCGCAACAGTCGATGTGTTGGAATAGTTGGCCGTGTCAGGCAAAACGCATTGTGGCAATCGTCCAGGGAGCAGCAAGTGCCGACATTCTGCATCCACCTCCTTCAGGAGCTTTACGCCGATTACAGTGCCACAGTTTGTCCGGACAGCACGAGCAGAGAAGCGCAGAATTCAGCAAGGCGTAAAGCAAGCAAGGAGAACCGTTAAGCTCGTTATTATTCAAAGCGCTACTGATGACCTTCCGTTGTGTGCGCTGAATTTGCAAAAATTGACAGTCTTGTTAACGTGATCTTCAGTTTCAATCCGCGCATTCTGGCTTAGAACTACGCTTTGATCAGATAAACACGCTGGCCAACGTCACCCAGCGACAAGGCAGAACAATCAAGATCGTAGTCATCGACGGGGACGAGGCTGATATTGCGGATGCAGCGCGGAGCGCGAAGTATTGTGACAGAAGGTTTTTTGTCCCATGAGTTCCACGACACTGAACTTGACAACAGAATAGCTTCCGGGTGGCGCAGCCTCACCCAGCTGTAGCATGAACTCACATGCAAACGCTACCCTCTCGCAAGCCGCCTTCGCCTTCTCAGTGGGCCCGTGGCACCCACCGTCATGTACGGGTGCAGCTCGTGGACCCTAGCCAAGGAGATGGTTACAGTACTGCGGCGCACGCGACGGAATATTCATTAAAGCATCGTGGGCATTGTGACAAGACAACAACCACAAACACTGCCTCCGACCTAGCAGCAACCAGCAGGAGGAAAAATCGGAGCAGGGCATCCAGTGCCCAAAGGAGGCCCTGCCGACAGCAGTTCGTACGACGAAGGCAACACCAGCACTGACGATTCTGAGAACGACGGGGGTGTCAGCGGCAGCAACGATGGTTGCACCAGCAGCAACGCTGGCAACGCCAACGACGACGAGTTGGAACCGTCGGCAGACTTCATTCGAGGAGCTACTACGTACGCAGCACGCGGCCAACGCCCATGCCAAATGCGCAAAACAGATCGTCGATTGGGTTTCGTGCTACGTACTTCAGAACAGAATCGATATGGGCCTGCCGCGTTACACATCTTCTTGCAAGCCGATGGGCCTGGCGCTCCCCCACCCGGAGATCTCCGCTACACGAAAAACGAGTCAAGACCAGCCCGCCGAAATCACGGTTGACAGCGGAAAGGTTGGGACAGCGATAGTGTTCAGTTGTTTGGAAGATATTGTTCAGACTGGGCACAGCAATATTTTCCAGGATTCCGATTTCGAATTGTGGTCACATGTGATATGGCAAGGATCCGAAGACAATTTTGCACAGTGTGCTGTGGAACTGAGGGCTCCAGCCCCTCCGCGCAGGCCCGCATGGGTCCCGCCCTTGACGGTACCGCGCGTTCGCTTCGCCTCGTCTCTCCTCTTCTTTCCTTCTCTCTCCCCTTGTCTCCTTTTGCCTGCTCCACCTCCTCCTCCTCCTCCTCCTCCTCTTTGTTCTCCTCCTCCTCCTCCTTCTTCTCCTCTTGCTCCTCCTTCTCCTCATCCTCACTCCTCCTCCTCCTCTTCCTCCTCCTTCTTCTCCCTCCTCCTCCTCCTCCTGCTCCTCCTCCTCCCTTCCCACCTTTCGCTTCCTCCGTGGCTCCATTCCTACCTCCATCCCCTCTTTCCCCCCTCCAGGGCACTCCAAGGCGGCGAAGGAGTTTATCAGGAGGGTCCCCCCCAGCCGTCAAGTGGGCGGCCACCCGAAGGCGGGGGCCCCATGAACCCATCCCAGTGGGACACTCTGTACCCCTCTCTCCCTCTCCCCCCCCCTCCCCTCCCCCCTCCCCCCTCTCTCCCTTCACAATTGACTAATGCCTATGCGACCACCCTTCGGGTGATAAGGAGCTTGTGGGGGGGGGGGAGGAGGGGGGGGAACCAACATCTGACTCAATCGACCTCACTATCGATCTCACTCAACGGGACACCACGGGACACCACGGGACATTACGGGACACCACGAGATTTTGTCGATCTCACCATTGATTTTATTATCGACTTCATTTAACGGGACATTGCGGGACACCACGGGCCACCACGGGACACCACGGGACACCGCGGGACACCTCTCGATCTCACTGATCTCATTATCGATCTCACTATCGATCTCATTATCGATCTCACTCAACGGGACACCACGGGACACCACCGGACACCACGGGACACCACGGGATACTTCGGGACGACACCACATCGATCTCACTATCGATCTCACAATCGATCTCACTATCGATCTCGCTCAACGGGACACCACGGGACACCACGGGACACCACGGGACACCACGGGACACCACGGGACACCTGTCGATCTCACTATCGATCTGACTATCGAATTCATTTTTTGGGGCACCACGGGACACCGCGGGACACCTCTCTTTCTCACTATCGATCTCAGTATCGATCTCACTATCGATCTCACTATCGATCTCACCCAACGGGACACCACGGGACACCACGGGACACCACGGGACACCGGACACCACGGGACACCACAGGACACCACGGGACACCACGGGACACCGCTAGGGCCGCCGGACGGACGGACGGACGGACGGACGGGGGAGAATCATTTGTCTTGACTTCGCCCTAGCAACGGCGGACACCACGGGACACCACGGGACACCACGGGACACCGCGGGACACCGCGAGCCACTGCCGGACGGACGAACGGACGGGGGAGAATCATTTGTCTCGACTTCGCCCTAGCAAAGGCGGACACCACGGGACACCGGGGGACACCGCGGGACACCGCGAGCAATTGCCGGACGGACGGACGGACGGACGGGAGAGGATCATTTCTCTTGACTTCGCCCTAGCAACGGCGGACACCACGGGACACCACGGGACACCACGGGACACCACGGGGCTTCGCGGGACACCGCTAGGGCCACCGCCGGACGGACGGACGGACGGACGGACGGGGGATAATCATTTGTCTTGTCGTCGCCCTAGCAATGGCGGGTTTTTTCCTCTCGCGCGCCCACGCAGCTTCGCCTCGCCCGCACGCGCGACACGAACGAAACGAAACGATTTCCCGTTTGGGGGTCTCCATTCCGCTGCGATCTCACCCCCCAACCTCCGATGGATACTACTCTCCTCTCTCCCCTGGTGGCGTCCAGGAAATGTTCGCCCCCCCCTCCGCGTATTGGTTTTTTACACAGGATTTCAGGGAAACGTTTTTTTAGTGTTTTGTTTATGCTGCTCTCGCTGAATCGCTGGCCTCATTTTCGGGCTACCGCTCATTCCGAATCGTGCTCCCGCTGCAGCGCTGGCCTCATTTCCGCGCTTCTGCTCGTTCCGAATCGTACTCCCGCTGCAGCGCTGGCGCCATTTTTATTTGCAGCGCTATGCCACGGCATTGTTTTCGGTTCTTCCAAATGGCCAAATAATATAGAAAATGCCTCCCCGAAAAAACTATCGGAAGTGATTACACATTCGGTGTCGATTCGCTGACTTTCTGGCCCGCAGAAGCCCCCCACGTTGGGGCGTCGCCACGCCATGCTATGTCAGGCTGCGCGTCATCATTTCCGCGCTTCCGCGCTTGGGCTTTTGTTCAAAATGCTGCTCTCGCTGAAGCGCTGGCCTCATTTTCGCGCTATCGCTCGTTCCAAATCGTGCTCCCGCTGCAGCGCTGGCCTCATTTCCGCGCTTCCGCTCGTTCCGAATCGTGCTCCCGCTGCAGCGCTGTCGTCATCATTTCCAGCGCCATGCCACGGCATGGTTTTCGGTCCTTCCAAATGGCCCCAGAATCTAGAAACTGCCCCCCCTGAAAAAAACATCGGAAATGATGACACATTCGATATCGGTTCGTTGACTCTTTGGGCTGCAGAAGCCCCCCCATTTTGGGGCGTCGCCACGCCATTCTATGTCAGGCTACGCGTCATCATTTCCTACCGCTCGTTCCGAATCGTGCTCCCGCTGCAGCGCTGGCCTCATTTCCGCGCTTCCGCTCGTTCCGAATCGTGCTCCCGCTGCAGCGCTGTCGTCATCATTTCCAGCGCCATGCCACGGCATGGTTTTCGGTCCTTCCAAATGGCCCCAGAATCTAGAAACTGCCCCCCCTGAAAAAAACATCGGAAATGATGACACATTCGATATCGGTTCGTTGACTCTTTGGGCTGCAGAAGCCCCCCCATTTTGGGGCGTCGCCACGCCATTCTATCCATGCTACGCGTTGATCTTCAACACCATGATGTGCCATGTAATGCTATGCCATGCTACCACATCCGATTGTGCAAATGGAGAGGAGATCTACGCCATGGTAAGGGATGGGAGGGTGGGGTAGGACGTCAGGTGTGACGCGAGCGCGCCTGGCTTGTCCCCCCCCCTCTCCCTTCCCTCCCCCCCCCTTTCGCCCCCTCTCCCTCTCTCCCCCCCCTCCACAATTACTTAATATGAATACTACTCTCCCTCTTCCCCTGATGACGTCCTGGGAATATTCGCCCCCCCCCGAGTACTGCTTTTTTACACACAGGTTTCCCCGGAGTTGGGTTTTCGCCTGGCTTTTTTTCCAAAGTGCTGCTCTCGCTGAAGCGCCGGCCTCATTTTCGGGCCCCGCTCGTTTCGAATCGTGCTCCCGTGGCAGCGCTGGCATCATTTCCGCCGGCGCCCGGGCTGCACGCCCGAGCCGGCGCCCGTGCCGGCCCTCGGGCCGGGTCCGGAGCCGGTTTGGCGCCCGGGAAGCCTTCCCCGGAGTTAGGTTTTCGCTTGCATTTTTTCCCAAAATGCTGCTCTCGCTGAGGCGCCGGCCTCATTTTCGGGCCCCGCTCGTTCCGAATGGTGCTCTCGCTGCAGCGCTGGCCTCATTTCCGTGCTTCCGCTCGTTCCGAGTCGTGCTCCCGCTGCAGCGTTGGCCTATTTTCCGCGCTTCCGCTCGTTTCGACTCGTGCTCCCGCTGCAGCGCTGGCGTCATTTCCCGTGCCATGCCACGGCATGCAATGTAATGCTAGGTTGATGCTACGCTTCGCGGTGCTCTCCTACGCCATGCCATGCCGTGCTCTACAATGCATCGCGTACCCTTTCGGGATCATCGCCCTGCTTGACATCCGACTGTGTGAGTAGAGAGGGGATCTGCGCCATGGTAAGGGATGGGAGGGAGGGATAGGATGTCAGATATGACGCGAGCGCACCTAGCTTGTCCCCCCCCCCTCCCCACCCCTCCTCCCCCTCCCAGAGGCCCTGGGCGCGCGGGCTCGCCGTGTGCGTGCTGCTGCCGCTCCTGCCGTGGCTTCTCGCGCTCTCCTGCGTGAACCAGTTCGCCCGACGCCTCCGCGGCTTCCCCGGGGGTGGCGCATCAAAGAGGACGAGCAGAGAGGGGCAGGAAGAGGATGCGACTGGGAGCCTCCTGCTCCTCCTCCTTCTCATCCTCTTGTTCCTCTCGTAGCCATGTCGGCTCAAGGCAGTTGCGGCCCAGCGGTTGCGTGCTTTTGGCCTGCTTCACCACACGCGAGCGTGTCGGAATGCGCATGTGCGAAGTGCTGATGTGTTACCATTTGCTTTTACTCCTGATCTATGCGTCCAGCTCCCCGCTGAATTCTCGTGCCGGGCTTTACAGTCATTGATGTCTGCTTCTGGCACGGGAATTGTAACCGTCCGAGGGCCTCGGCAAGTGCCAGGTGTCTCGGAAAGATGAGCACGATCATTTTGGCGTTCTCGGCCGGTTGCCACGTCACTCGATAATGTAGTTCAGAACTATTGGAGCAGAGCCAGAGGTCGACGCCTCCGACGAGTACGAGCCCGTCGACGCTTAGCCTGGCGCTTTCCACGCTGCACGGCACTGCCAGTATTGGCGGTATGAAGACGGCCAGCGAGCAGGAGACGCCGGGGCACATACCCGAGTTCTTCCACATACCCGATGGCTGCGTCATGGTGAATGCACAGACAGGCTATTGGATGCGCAATGTTGAGGTGGTTGCCATCGTTGACGGTATTCTGTGACACCTTATTCTGCTCGCTCTGGGTAACCTGCGCGAAGCTATGGCGTACGCGGCCTCGGCAATCACCCATCGGGTGGACGAGCATCCTAGATGCACCAGCTCCAAGTTGACTTGGTCTCCTACGCGGTTCACCAACATCTTCGACGGGTCGTCGATAGATGTCGACGGAAGCCCCGACCGACGGAGGCTGATGGCGAACAGCGTCTTGGATCTTGCGATGACGTGAACTTGTCCGCTTCGCTCGCCCTGTGCGCCGTTGCTTGCTTGTCTCCACCTCTTCCCTCCCCTCCGTGTCCTGCCGTGTGCCGAATACAGTATCTTGCAGTGCTTGTGCCATCATTGTTTTGCCACCTAGCCCAAATGTCGGAATCTGATGCGATGTTCGGTCCTTTCTTGCAGTACTTATGCATATTCACATGCTTGGCGTAGTAGTAACTTCGATGTATGCTGCTGGAGCTTTGTATTATACACGGTGCTGTATTTGGGTCGGGCCAGCCAAATATTCAGCTGTTCCCCAACGGCCAGTGTACTTCTCCTCCAGCTGCTGCTGCTCTTCCTCCTCATACTTGTTGTTTGTAATATTTGGGGATAGTCCGGGGGGGACCGAGACCCAGCAGCAGCTCCAGAAACCCTCCACACGGACCCGCATGCGCTACGTGAGCCAGGCAGGCTCCTTGCTCAAGCCTCGACGCGGGAGAAGAGGTATCCCCCCAATCCTTCTCCTCCTTCTCATCCTCCCCGTGCTCCTCCTCCTCCTCCTCCTCCTCCTCATCCTCCTCTTCCTCCTCTCCTCGCGCTCGTACTCGTCGTCGCCGTCCACTCCGCCTGATCACGCAGACGCGGGGCGGGAGGCGGCAGAAGAGCGGCAAGGTCCATGACAAGAAGGAGGGAGCGGAGAAGTTGGAAGAGAAAGAGGGGGGCAGGGCCAGGATCATGATGATGATAACGATGATGATGATGATGATGATGATGATGATGATGATGATGATGATGATGATGATGATGATGATGATGATGATGATGATGATGATGATAATGATGATGCAGATGCCGATGCTGATGCTAATGCTGATGCTGATGCTGATGCTGCTGCTGATGATGATGAAGATGATGATGCTGATGATGATGATGCTGAGAATGATGATGATGCTGATGCTGATGCTGATGCTGATGGTGGCAGTGATGCCGATGATACTGGTGGCGGTGATGACAACACCGACGGTGACGATGATGACGCTGTTGATGGTGATGGTGATTTGATGATGCTGCTGCTGATGATGCTGATGACGATGACTATGTTGTTGATGATGATGCTGATGCTGATGATGCGTATAGCGATGATATTGGAAATGCTGGTGATGCTAGTGATGCTGCTGATGATAATGCAGCATCTGATGATGCTGCTGATGATGATGCGGAGGTTGATGCTGCTGATGGTGGTGATGGTGCTGCTGATGATACTGATGCTGGCGAGACAGATGACGATGATGCTGCTGATTATGATGATGCTGATGATGGTGGTGGCGATGCTGCTGATGATGACGATGGCGACGATGATTACGATGATGATGCAGACGATGCGGCTGCTGATGATGACGATGGTGATGATGATGATGCTGCTGATGCTGATCAGTATGACGACGGCGATGGTGCTTGTGATTCCGATGATGATGCTGATGCTGATGATGCTGCTGCTGGTGGTGATGATCTGGATGAATATGATGCTGCTGCTGCTGCTACTGTTGTTGATGATGCTGATACTGCTAATGCGGCTGCTGATGCTGATGATGCTGACGATGCTGCTGATGATGCTGATGAGGATGATGGTGATTATGATATTCTGCTGCTGCTGATGATGACGATGCTGCTGCTGATGGTAATGCTGAGGCTGCTGATAATCTTGAGGATGTTGCAGCTGCTGATGATGCTGATGCTTGGTGGTGAAGATGGCGATGATGATGCTGATGATGATGCTGATACTGATGATGATGATGCTGTCCATGCTGATGATGATGAAGATGATGATAAGGATGAGGATGAGGCGGGGGAGGAGGAGGTGGAGGAGGATGAGGAGGATGAGGAGGAGGAGGATGCTGAGGATGATGACGATGCTGCTGGTGCTGATGCTGTTGCTGATGATGGTAATGATGCTGATGATGACGGTGATGCTGATGATGGTGATGATGTTGCCGATGATGATAACGCTGATGAGGAGGACGAGGATGAGGGTGCGGAGGAGGAGGAGGAGATGAAGGATAAGGATGATGATGCTGATGATGCTGATGATGATGAGGTTGCTGATGATAATGCTGATGATGCTGACGATGATGCTGATGCTGATGATGATGATGGGGTTGATGATTGTAGTGGTGATGATGGTGATGTGGATGATGCTGCTGATGATGATGATGATGATGATGCTGATGCTGCTGATGATGATGATTAGGAGGAGGAGGAGGACGATGCTGAGAACGAGGATCAGGAGCATGCGGGTGATGATGATGATGCTGATGATGATGATGCTGATGATGATGCTGATGATGATGATGGTGATGATGATGATGATGATGATGATGATGCTGATGCTGATGCTGATGCTGCTGCTGCTGATGATGATGATGATGATGAAGATGATGATGCTGATGATGATGATGAGCATGATGATGATGAGGATGAGGATGAGGAGGAGGAGGAGGATAAGGAGGAGGAGGAGGAGACGGAGGACGAGGAGGAGGTGGAGGAGGAAGAACGTGACGATTAGAATGAGCACGAGGAGAAGGAGGAGGAGGAGGAGGAGAAGGAGGAGGAGGAAGAGGAGGAGGAGGAGGTGGAAAAGGACAATGACAACATGGATGAGGAGGAGGCGGAGGAGGAGGAGGAGGCTGAGGAGGAGGAGGAGGAGGAGGAGGAGGAGACGGAGTTGGAGGAGGCGGGCGGAGCTGCATACCTGGGAGGGATGGGGAGGATAGTTATGCCTCGTAAGTCGCCGCGACCGCCAGCAGTACCGCACCATCCAAGGGAAGCCTTGCACAACCAGATCGGAACAGTGGAGTGGGGGCGAGATTGTGAGCCAGTTAGCTCAGGGTGCCCTCTCCCGCTCCGCCTGCGAGTGCGTCCCGCGGGAGGGGCGCCCTTTCGGGCTCCTCCTCAGCCTGCTCTGTCTTCCTGCTGCTCCGCCCTCCTCTGTCCTCAGTTCTCCTCCTCTTCGCAGTTCCTCTTCAAAATGTGTCTTTCGCCTTAGCGCTGCGCACATTCGTGCCACAATCTTGCAACAGCTTCCAGGATAGAGGGCGTTTCCGTTCCACTGTTTTGCTTTCGCGTCAGTTCCACGCACATTCGTGTTGAAATTTTTCAACATCTTCAGGGATGTATGGCGGTTCCTTTTCAAACTAAGGCTTTCGCTTTTGTGCCACGTGCACTCGTCTGAAACACCTGCAATCGTTTCACTGATGGAGGGGGGCGTTTACAAAATGTGGTTCTCGCTTTAGCGCCGCGCGCATTCGTTTCAACATTTTGCAACCATTTCAAGGATGCAAGGGTGGTGATTG